CCCTTCACCCTAGCGCTTAGATGCTTTCACAAGAAGAAGACAGAGGAGGAGGATAGAGAAAAAAAAAAAAAAAAAAAAGGAGGATAGAGAGGTGTTATATACCCACCGAACATCGAAGGCCAGGATGCCACGTGTTCCCAAAAAAATGCGGATGTGTCCGTGGACCCTCACGTACATCCCGAGACTGCACATCATCCAGAAGAACAGAAATGATTGTAATTGACGGAGTCTACTTTTCTTTTTTTTCAATTAAAAAAAAAAAAAAACGGTATGGCGGCCCCTCCTTTCCAAATAAATAAGTAATGGAGGCTTCCTTTCAAAAAAAAAAAAAAAAAAAAAAAAGGTGTGGTCCCAGTGTACTTTCTTCTGCAGACATACTTTGCTATAGACGAGAGAGGATCTTCTTCGTCAATTGTTCTCGCCTGCATAACTCACACACCCGACAGATTTGCCGACATAACTCAGTACCCTACAAAAACTAAAACTGGACGTAAATGAGAAATGAAAACTATCTAATCAATGTCGTCCCTCGGGCCTTGTGACCATATTAAAGGGAAGGAGCTTGTGTGACTGGATTAGAATGAGGGGGAGGCTGACGACAGCGTGCACCGAAATCAGCCATAACGCGAACATACATATGCACGCCGCAAAGCAGACGTACCATTTGATCCAGTTTCTTACTTTCGCTCAATAAAAAATATAGGAAGATGGACTTCACTCAGGTGTTTGTAGAATAATTTTGACAAGCAATACAAATAAGCTTTAGACATTATTATGGCAAAAGCAGAAACTTCACTTTGTTTAGTCAAATATAAACTAAATGTAGACGATTTAGGTCACCTTATTAACATAACATAATGGCCAATAAAATTAATGCGTTAATAGCTCTCACACATACAGACATACCATTTGATCGAGTTTCTTACTTTCGCTCAATAAAAAATATAGGAAGATGGACTTCACTCTGCAATCAGATTCGTTTTCAAACACACTTTTCACACATGTAAACAGTAACGCAGCACACTGGCGACATGCGCCCACTCAAAACTCAGAGATATGGCTTCAGATACGAGTTCACTCTCAAATGGCTATGGCGACTTCAGCGCCCAAACATCTCACTGTTCACAT